TAATATTCCATAATTATAGATGTGACTATTCATGATTTTCATTTTATTAAAAGAAAACAGAACATATAATTGTATTTCAAGCAATATCTAACCTAATAAGAACCTGACAGAATTTTCACAAACATATTCAGAGTAGATAATTTGTATATTTAGCAAAATTCATTCAATCTTTTTGATCCTACTTTGAAAGAGTATTCAGCGAGGAGGAAAGACCAACCAACATGAAACCCACATTTTGTCAGGTTGTATATAGTGGTTTAACTGTCTGCTAAACCTGTATAACTGGCAATATAGAAGGTAAATGTCTATACTTTAAGTATTGCTATTAAGTATCATGCAAGGAAATGTGCTACTTGTCTAAATATTTAATATCACATTTTAGGCTGACTGATATACTATGTCTTTACAAGTAATTTACAAATAATTTTTTAGAAAATAGCTTCCATTAAACTTACTAAAGTTAGTAAGAAGTTAAAGACATACAGGGAAACTATAAACATACATACGAAAAAAAATGCAACATCATGAAGTTGCAACTAAAAATTGATATCAAGAAAAAAAATCTATGTGTTGTTAATAATCAAATCTAGGTGATCAACATGCATACTATATTTATATGTAAGTCCATAAACTAACACTTCTGGATTTTCAGTCATTTGTACATTTGCAAGATTCTGATCACAGGATACCAATTAACCAAGCTGTCACCAAGCAGTGACCAAGCTGTCACTAAAAAAGCATGAAAAAAAAAAAATGGAAAAAGCTACCACAGACCTTGTTAGGAACTTTACAAAGACTTTTAAATATAAAAACTTTAAAACTCATAATAAATGAAACAGCAGGCATATTTCCATGCTCTTTTTGTAAAAGCTGTGAAGTTGACATAAAGTCTCCTACCTTTAAATGGTAAAAGTTGTTTTATAAATTTTATAAATTGAATGCAATCCTCCCCTAGGTCTAAAAACTAAAAAAAAAAAAAAAAGGGTATTTGAATTGGCATGTTGTAGGAAACTGAATCCTTGCATTCTGCAGCAACACTGTGTCAGATTTCTGTAAGCTTAGAAACTATACTAAAATCCAGCCCATACAAACAAGAAGCTCCCTTTTGTTGCTGGAATTCCTGAATGCCATTCCCAGAACTGCCGAGCCTTCACAAACCTGACTAACACACGTCAGCACTAATAAGATTCAAACAAAAACATGGAGGGCCACCACTAACCTATATAAGAGGGAAATTGTTCCAAAATGACCTTTTGGCAATGTATAAATATTAGTTGCCATATTTTCTGTAAGTATGAAGGAGAGTAAAGACATTGGTTTTAATGAAGTTATGCTCGCTTTACAGCAGTTGAAAATATAGTTTACTGTGTATCTTCCTTTTTGTCAGAGCTTTCCACAGCTTTTTTGTTACCATTAAAGGAACATTATCCTTCTATCCGCACCTGCTAACTTCTCACAAAATTGTTTTGCAATTTAAAATATCTGATTATTTCTTTTTTTATCATTATCTTATCATTTTCTTGCTTATATTTACAGGAAAATAATATTTTTTATTAATTTTCTTTGAAAAAAATGAGTGTACATTATAATCATGTTTTTCATTTCATTGAAATGAGACAAAAAGCAACAGATAAATAAGTAATTAGCAATTAGCCAAAAACATTTTCTTTGCAGTAATATGATGGAGTAAACACAGGCTTTGTACCTTCCTTTTGTAAAACACATTGTTTATATAGCTAAAAGGGATTTTAGTGTACACCACAATTTCGATCACTAGCTTGTATTAATTCTGCTAAAGCATATTACCAGAATATTTCCTGTTCTCTTTTTTGCTTGTGCTTTATGGTTTTTCTGTTTTTAGCATGCATGTATCTGTGACCTACTTAAAAAAGCCCCACCTACAAGTACTAAAATAACGTTAAGTGCGAAGGTTTATCATGTGATCCTGTAACTAACAGGAAAGGGCTGTTTCTGGAAAAAGCCGAGTACTCTCAATCCACTCACCACCGGTAAAAATTCAGAAGTAGTACCTCTGAAGGTTGGCACCAGAGTTGCCAAAGGAAAACACTTTCTCATTTCCCAATGCCCACAACTGCTATTACATTCACTGTTAAACACACTTTAGCGTAGACGCCTCTGTTGGACAAGCACACAGAACTCCCAATTAAAAGGTTTCATTTTTGTCACAAAAGGAGCTAGATTATAATGGCATCTTTTGTCCAATGCTTAATGAAGGGTGAGATATTGTTCAAATAATTAGTAACACTGCCGGGAGATAATGCAAGTAATTAGCATGGCTTGATACCCAGAGTTACACCAGTTGCTGCTGTTAGCATGAACAATGTGTTGATTTAAAAAGAAAATCACAATAAAAGAAAATGTCACTAGAGGAGTTTTTGGTTTGTTTTTTAAAGATACAATTAACTACTCATTAATGAACGAGTCCACTATAGTTTTGTCTACCACATGTTAGTTTTTTCTGGAAAATGTTTTGAAAAGATTTGCGTAACTCAACTATCAAATAAACAAACACGTATCTTAATAATCCACTGCAGCAATATAGCAAACAACAACATTTTTTTTTCCCATGGGGAATTTCCTTATCCGTCTGAACACTGAATTTACCAGGGACATTTACACATTATTTGTATCTTAACAAAGACTATCTGCAAACTGGAACCAAGATCTGTGTTGTCAGGCAGCAGCCTCATAACCAGTGACTCAAGACGATATTATCATTTATGAAGAAGAAAATCTGAATATGAAAATGGAATTGAATTTCCTGTTTCCTTCTCAAATACTAAATACTATTGCAAACAGACACCACTCCTTTACTGCTAAATAACCATACCAATACACTGAGCTGAAAATCTCACTCTTAGACTTTGATATGTAGAACAGCATAAACTTCTGAGACATCAGGTGCAGAACAGAACGAAAGGACTTAGTTTTCAAATTATCTTCTTATGAACAGAGAATGGACTGTCCATCTGTACAGAAGTGATGTCTAGCTTAGTATTCCCAGACTCAGGGGATAAATGTGTCATGACTTGTGATGTAATCGGCATGACTAATGTCATAGCTGGCATTAGCAAAGCACAACGGGCTGCCTCATGACAAAGAAGATAGTAACTGGATTTCATGTAGGAAGGTAATTAGCTGAACAAACTACTTCAAGGCAGCTTGGGTCCAAAGGAAGTCGAGGTCTCAAAAAAAGTTGAACAGGTATTGCAGATAAGAACTGTCGCAACAAGACGACGGTCATTTGACCCAGGTCTACCCCAACCACTCAATTAGTATTGGAATAACTCTTAAAGAAGGGTGGTGGAAAGTAGATAAGTTGCTGGCTAAGTGAATTAAACTGGGTAAGTAATGTAAATTTTGCTTACTTCTCTCGCATGCCCATTTAGAGTTGGCGTAGGTATCTTTGCACAGCAAAGCAATAAGTCACACAAAAATACCCATAGTATGTCTAAGTACTTTGACAGCCTCAAATATACTTCTCTGGTATTTAAGCTTGAAGGTATTTCATTTTAAATAGTGCATTCCTACTGATATAAAGTTAAAAAAAATAAAATTGTCCAGTCACTATGAGCTGACTAAGTAACTTCTGTTAAGCATATAAACCTATGGATTTATTGAAAAACACAGGAAATCCATGCATCGTTTATAGTACACGTCCCACTTTATCAGTGACCAAACTCTTACCTTTTAAAAGAACAAATCTATTCAGCACAAACAGAAAGTAAAATTAACCAGTCCTTAGTAAATAAGAAAGCCTTTAGGAGATCAGAGGAAGCCTATGGGTCTGGGTAAGGGAGTATCCTTCACTTTTTTGATGTTTGCACATACATAGAGAGGCACAGAAGGCCGGCAGCACGCGCATGCACATTATACCTGCGCTAATGTAAAGTTATCGTAGACATGACGATATTTTTATAATAGTAATCTTCTAGCAAATTAAACCTATTAATTCAGTTTCCTTTTACATCCTTGAAATGCTGCCTGGAAAGGCTGGCAGACCTCCATATTTGTGCTCTCTTGTTGCCGTCTACCTTTAAAGGATACGCCCAAATGCACATGCACACACACAGAGGAGTTAGGTGTCCCGGGGGGCTGGGGGAAGGGAGGCGTGGGGTGTTTTCCTTCCTTCCTCTCCTCTGCAGCAGCATCTAAACCTGGCAGCTACAGGAACCAGGACTCAGACAGTTTGCAGGCTCTCCTGCTTGGCTATCCCTGCCTCAGCTGGAGCTTTGGGATAATAAATAACGTCCGTCCTCTGGCAGCCGCCGTGCTGAGGGCGCTCGGTGGGGAGCACGGGCCACCAGGACTGCACGGTTACCTGATAGGACAGGCGTCTTTTCACCGCGGAAGCGGTCACATAACCATGGGAATGCCATGAGAAGCTGGGAAACAATTTCAGTCTTGTTCCCAGCTTCGTGCCTTTCCAGAGCTGGGGCGAGAGGCAGCACGGAGGACCGGAGCCAGCGTGGAGCCTCCCTGGCCAGGCTAAGCAGCTGGCAGCCCTGAAGCCAGCTACATATAAATGCCCCTGCTGTTAGCGGGGATGCAAGGGGCTTTTCACGGACAGAGAGCAAAGGAATGGAAAATAACCGTCAGTGGAGCACATGCGAAGAGCGCCTGACATTTCAGTCAGTGCCTGTCTATGTGCAGTCAACGCTAAAGTCTTGCTGCTGCCGGGAGCAAAGCATTAGGCAGATAAGCAAATCGGCTTCAGCAATAGCTGGGCACTGGATGCTCCTTGTGATGGCTACAGAGAAATCAAAACACAGCTGAGGTATCTTTAAGGCAAAATTGGACCCCTTTACAACAGTGATAAGCAAATGTATGTGGAGATGCATGTGTGTATTCACATGGACAGCAACCATACACCTACTTTACTACCCACTGCCCCAATGAGGAAACATGTCATGCAGCTTGAGGACACTGATTCCCAGACACATTTGGCTGGGCTACAAAGGCCGACAGGTAGCACTAACCTTTAGCTTGTCATAGCGCTCGCTTAAAGCTGCCACCTGATGGTCACGGTGTCGTCCCACCAGCTTGCACAAGGCACAGATGAGCTGGTCATCGGTCACGCAGTACATGTTAACTTTCTCGTCCTCATGCTCCAAACACATTAATCCTCTGATGTGCGAGTCCGGAATAGGCTCAATTAAGCGGTGGCCGGTGAAGGGCTTCTTGTTGGGGTGGGTGGCTTTCAAGCACTCCTCGCAGTAGGACACCTCACAGGTCACGCAGGTTTTCACTGCCTCCTGTGCAGGGTCCTGGTCGCAGAACTGGCAGAGCACCTTCTCGCAGGACGACATGCTGTTGCCGTCAAATGCCCGCTCGCGGCGGGTCTCGCTGGGGGAGTTGGGCCCGCTCACCGACGCTTTCTGAAACCTGTCGATGATGTTCTGCAGGGTGACGTTGCGCTTGAGCCCGTCTAGACCGCGCTGGCTGAGGGTGATGACATAGCGGCAGGTCGGGCACTGGAAGGCGGTGATTGACTCCACCGACTCGTTGGTGGCGCAGTGAGAGACGAGGATGCGGTGAGCGCAGTTGAAGCAGAGGCTGTGAGCGCAAGGCAGCAGCAGCGGGTCTTCAAACAGCTCCAGACAGATAGGGCAGGTCAGCTCCGACTCCAGTGTTTCCATCTTCAGGCAAAGCTTTCCTGTGGCGTCAGCGAAATCCAGGGAAGCTGATCAGCTATCTGGAAACACACGTAAAATTCGATTAGGCGAAAGGCAACATGAGGGGTCAGCCGTGGGGGGTTGTCAACTTTCGCCTCCGCTCATGGGGCTATCAATCCACCATGCCGGGCGGGAGAGCAGCCTAAAGTTTTGAATCCGCATATGCACACATCAAGGTATTTAAAACTGTACTGCTTTTTTTTTAAAACCTTTTCTCTTGCTCTTTTCTCTTTAGAATGCAAACCAAAAACTCTTTATTAAGCTCTCTGTCTCTCCTGAGATTGAGGGAAACAGCAAATGTTTCTGGTAGATGTGCATTATTAAAAAAGAAAATTATCTCCTTCAAACAGACTATTAGAGCAAAATCAGATTTTTCCTGTAGATGCTGCTTTTGGCTTCGCTAATCTAAAACTTTTTAACTTCAGTTTTGAGCAGCAGCAATGTAAGCATTAGTCCACAGTATTAGAACTAGTAACTGTAAATCTCCTATTGCTAATATAATGCAGATCTGTGTAAACATGTATCTGAACACGCATGGGGAATAATGTTTCTAGACAAGCATGTGACTAGTATAGATATGTGTGGTATGTTAGTATACTTATATCTTTCACAATCCTGTGTGTCTATATTCATAGATACATACGTGCACAAAAATATATACTGCATGTGTTTGTTGCAAGATACATACAGTGGGAGATTCACATGGGGTCCTAACTGAAATGCTTGGAGGAAGATTGATGCAGTAAATGATACAAATTTAGAGATCTCTCTAAATTTAGAGATTGCTCTCTAAATTTATAGGATTTACTTCATCAGTCTTCCTCTAGGCGTTTCAATTTAGTCCTAATTTCCAATGATTGTAAACTATGAAACAAAGAGGAGCATCTGCAGCATAATTTAGTGAAAAGTGTGATTTGCTGATTTGCTGTTTGTGGGGTTTTGTAGGTTTTTTTTTCCTGCTTAAGGTATGTGCTTTTGTATGAATACTCCCTATTGCGAAAAGTTAGGAACAGCTATTGGCCTCAATCACCATGTTAATCACCTCAAGTGGATTAGGAAGCAGTGACTTTCAGAGGAGACATGGGGAATTTCCAGGGAAGCCCAGCACTACGGCCCTGTCAGAGATGGACCGAAACTTCATTTTGTTTCCTCTCCTGCATTCAGTGTAACAGAGAGTGGTTTTGAAAGAGTCGCTCCGCGCAGCCTAAGCTGCCATCACGGGCCTGGCGCTGCTGCGAGCGGACGGGTCAGTGAAGCAGAAGCAGCAGCCCTGCTCCGCACTCACGGAGCTGTACCTCTTCACAGTGCGATCTATTTAAGCCTTGTTGCTCATGACCGGGGACAGCTTCAGATGGCACAGCTGCACGGTCTTCACACTGTAAAGTCATTGTTTGGTTGTGTGAACTCTTGCCTCCTTCCCTTGCCAGGAGAAAAGAGGGAGCAACAAGAATCCCCGCAAACACATCTTGGTTCATTAGAGGCAAGGAGAGCTCGGGGCTCATTAGCAGCCTTGGGAACCAAGCACTCCCGAGCCATCCGTGCTCCGTGACAATTAGAGGGCGGACTGCAGGGACAGGGACAGGGAAGTGAGCTATAACCCCAGCATGAACTACGGTAAAATAGGAGAGTTCAGAAAACAGAGGCAAGGTGCAGGTGGCCCCACAATATTTAGCCCTTCTTCCTCCGTGGGAAGATCAGCAAGGCGTCTGTTCAGAGCTATGCTTAGAGACTAGGACACCTTGCCTCTTGGCACTAACACTTCCTTCTATTCTGCCAAATCTGGACATTGAAAAAAGGCACTGACCCTATCACAAAATTCACTTTGCTGTAGGTTACTGCTGATCTTATCTGAAATAAAGCTCAGTTTGCCAATGACTAGTTCACTTACAGCTATCCTTCGGCTGCCGTAATTGCATGGCGCATATGGTCAAAATTAAAGAACTGGCAGTTTCATAGAAGCAGGAAGATAACTCCCCTTCTATCTTCAACCATAGCCACACAGCACAGAAAAGATGAAAGCTTTTTCTACAAATGAAGAACAGTTTATCTTTCCTCCTCTTCACTGTCTGTATCACAGAAGTCCCAGAAGATCAAAATCTCACTCATGTTGTTTGAACGTCTTCCACACCACAACCGTATACCTCATCATCCACTTATCCTGCAGTGGGAACGCTGCACTGGAAATGGAGAAGGGGATTTGGGGTTGGCAGGAGACAACATTTTCAAAAGGCAGACGAATAATTGCTCATCTCTTGGCATGCCAGTGAAAACCTGCTGGCCTTTGGGTTTTATTTCATGTAACAGTTTGGCCAGTGGGGCTTTCTTCTGTGCTATCCTTTCTGTATAAAATCTGTCCTGCTCCTTCATGCATCAGAAGGTTTATTTCATTCAATTTCCTTCTTAAAGCACTTTTTTCTTTTTTTAAACCAAAGGCTTCCTTTTATGATACTCAGTGAAAAGGGAGGCAAACCAGCAGAAAAATATCTGCATCAGTGACTCCTAGAAAGATGTCTGAATCACTGTCATGGTTCTGCATAAACACCACTATCTTAATCGAGAACCATTTCTGATCTGTCTGATCTGACTGGGCAGCAACTTATTCCTGACTCTAGTGCTATCCAGTATGAGCAAAGGTGTCAAAATCTGATTTTAGAGAGTAAACTTCTTGGAATAACAGTTTATCTTCCAATATATGAGCATACTGGTAGAAATCAATAGATGTTGTTTCCCCATTTTCTTTTGCAGTTGCCAGTAAGTCAAAATACACTGCACCTGTGACTGAAGAATGAAAACTTTAAGAGGCATTGAAAAAGGGCTGCATTTTCTGAGCAATATAATGGTTACTGTTTTATTGACTATACTACTTTCTGTATGCTGGTGCCATAAACACATGGTATATTGCTGATCCAGCTACAAAATCTTCCAAATTCACTGCTCCCCACCCTAAAATTTTGTATTAGTAATTCATTTTGCTGAGAGTGGTAGAGAATCTGTAACCACAGTAAACTGGAAGATTTAGCAGAAAGTCTATACACATGCAATGTGTGCATATATGCATTGTTGTATACCATATTCAACACACTCCACAAAACCAAAGTCACATAGACAGCCTCCAGACACAGCAAGAACAAAAGGAACTTAAAGTATATAATTTCATATTTGCAAAAATATAGAATTACTGGTAGAAATTTATACTATAACCCAAAATACTCTTCAATTGAGAATTTTTTACTCATAAGAAGTAAGTTTAAGGACATCAAAGAAAAAGTGATTGCCAGAAGACGAATGTTTTTTAAAAATGGAAAAGATACTTCAGTAACTTTGGAAGTTTTAAATCTCCCAAACACATACAATTAGTTGTGTATTATACAGGAAACAATGCAATAAATGAAATTCTCATCCCAATATAATTCATGGAAACACTCCTACTAACCCAATGGAATTAGGATCTTTTTGTCTATTTTTTTATTTACTTTTTAGGTATTATTAATGCCTTCAGTTGCTCAGAAGTTTGCCAAAAGATCTTTAGTAGTACAGAAACATGAGAAATGAAAAATAAAGCTGAACTAGATGGATTTTAATATGTCAAGTGCCAATAGATCACAATGAGAGAAGGTTTCTTAATGACATCCTAATAATCAAAGCCCCAGAAAATCCTAGTAATCAGAGCCCCAGAATTAGGATCCCTAAGGAGCACATAAGACGTGCAAATCACCATTTTTAAGATACCATTATTTATTTTTGATGATTTGGTGGCCCTGAAATCAGTTCATGGCTGAGTGAAGACTGATGCTAGGGTTATGGACACCTCTTACACTTTAAACAGAGAAAGCAGTATAGAGAGGTAACCTGATAATAACAACAACAACAACAACACAAAAAGAGGCAGGAAGAGATGTCAACAATCCAGCAGTGTAAGCAGCTCCTCATAGGAAGCAGCACAGCTCCATATGTTGAAGAGAACTCGCCTTTAAAAAGATTCTTTGAAGTACACACGGATATGTGAAGCTATTCTTATAGAAAAGCATACATAGCTCCTGCACATGGCTTAGCACTCCTTCTGTACCCACAGGACAGCCAGAAAATTTCAATTAACATTGAAAACATTTTGCCAACCTGCTTGGAAAAAAGACCAACATCCAAGAGTAATCCTATAGGAGCTGATGATGCTGCACGAATAGAGTCTTTACATGTTTCTGTCTCTCTTCAGTGTTAACTATATAGTCAATAATAACGGTTATTATTTATATTATTTTTATTAACAAAGAAATTAAAGTGTGATAATGCTAAAGACAATTGTTCACCTTAGATCAGTTCTTTAAGGATAAAACATGGTATTTCTGAAGTGTTAATGTAAGGTCTGAGGTAAAACAACTAATAGCAAAACTACGGTTAAAACTGAAAGTATGAAAAATTCCAATTTACTAAGGTTGCTTTGTGTTATCGGAATAATGGAGAATTCTTCCCATGCATACAGGAAGAATAAATCACTATCTATTAGAATAAAGTGAGTAGATGAGATTTTAGTGTGTCATATATTGCCCCCTGCTCATGTTGTATCCTGTCCTTTCCTCGTCCAGATGCCCTTATAATCTTTCAGGAAAGGTAAAAGGAGAATCTATGAGAGGTGAGCGAAGAAGCTGAAGAAGAGGATCTAAGCTCTACTTTCCATTGTTATTAGGTCTGTTTGAGTGAATTTTTAAATTTTAGTGAGGTCAGATAACATCGACAAAAGAAACGAACAGTATGCTGCTCTGCAAATTTCAGGCATCAGTAACAAACAGGGCAAAAGAGCTGGACTTCTGCCACGTTCCAAAATTCCTTGAAGTGTTATCTCACTGACAAGATTGCAGCTTGTCATGCAGCTTGTTTTGGTGAATTAGGGCCAAAAGATATCCAAACAGGTTCTAGCAGAATTTCTTTTCCCCCAGCAAGTTTCCCCCTCTTAACAATTTGCTGCCTTCAGGCTGCTACTGAATGACTACAACAGTAAGCCTATTTCAGCCTTGGTCCTACAAAT